AGAATTGTTGGAGTATTATCATTTTCATCCAGGATTAAAATGTTGACAGTGACGTTGCTTGTAAGTGGAGGAACACCAGAGTCTGTGGCCTGAACTTTAAAGTGGAAAGTTTTTAACTCCTCGTAGTTAAACGAGTGCAGGCTGACTATATCTCCTGTCTCTGAATTAACAGTTACCATTGAAGCCATTTGCATGGTCTTGGAAGAGCTGCTAATTAAATGATACATTGATTTTGCGTTTTCATTTAAATCCAGATCTGTTGTTGTCAGTTTATGAATAGTAGTTCCAATCGGACTATTCTCTTTCACATACAGAGTAATTGGAGAGTTCGGGAATTTAGGAGGGTTGTCATTTACATCAGAAACGTGAATAGTGATAACAGTTGTGCTGGACAGAGAGGGCGTCCCTTCATCTGTAGCTACAATATATATATCATATCGGGAAACAGTCTCTCTGTCAAGAAGCCTGTCCACTAGCAAAGAATAATAGTTTTTATAGTTGGATTTTAATTTAAATGGCACAGAACCTGTTATCTTACAGTTTGTGAGGCCATTTTTACCCCCGTCTTGATCAGTGATAGTCACCATAGCAACAGCTGTGCCTATTTCGGCGTCCTCTTTCACTGAACTCATGATTGAAGACACTGAGATTTCTGGAGCATTGTCATTAACGTCAATGACTTCAACTAAAACTTTGCCATGTGCACTGCGAGGAGGAGTTCCTCTGTCTCGGGCTTGAACGCGGATCTCAAATGCTTGGTTTTCCTCATAATCAATATTTCCTCGCACAGTAATTTCCCCAGTATTATTATTCAGGGAAAATTTGTCATCAGGGTTTAAACGTCCTCTTTCTGTAAATGTGTAGACAACCTGACCATTAATACCATCATCTAAATCACTCGCAGTGAGTGTTAGTAACGGTGTGCCAATATTTGCATTTTCAATTACTTGGACTTTGTAGAGAGATTTACTGAACACGGGTGAATTATCGTTCACATCCAGAACATTAACTTGTATTTGCAAAGTCCCCGTTTTGGGAGATTTTCCTCCGTCTATCGCAGTCAGAGTGAGCTCAATAACAGCTTGTTTTTCTCGATCTAAGGCTTTCTGCAGCACCAACTCAGCAGACACACTCTGGTCGCCAGTACTCTGTATATCTAAAGAGAAATAATCATTCGCGTTCAATTTATAAGTCTTCACTGAGTTAGCGCCAACATCTGGGTCATGCGCTATCGGCAATGGATGCCTTTCTCCGACATATGAGGACTCATACATATCAATTGTAGATATATCTCCTTGAAAAGACGGGGCATTGTCATTAATATCATTGATTACAACTTCAATTCGATGAAGACTGCGAGGGTTACTCAATATGGCCTCGATATTTAAAGAGCACTTTACCGTATTAGGACATAGCTCCTCCCGATCAATTCTCTCGCTAACGAAAAGTACTCCAGATTCAAGATTGATATCAAAATACGGGGGTTTATACCCAGATGTAATTTGAAGACCCGATGACTGAAGCTGCTGCACACTAAGATTTAAATCCTTCGCTAGATTTCCCACCGCAGCGCCTTTGTCCACCTCCTCAAAAATGGAATAGGATATCTGAGCCACGGACCATTCACAGAGACAAAGAAGGCTGAAAAACAGACTCCAAATATTATCCCATTGTCTTCGAGCAGCCATCGCTGTTTATACAAAAGTATGAAATCCTGATTTATACTTCCTGGAAAGAAACGCCAAATATGAAAAATATCCCTTCATGTATCCACTCTCGCCAAGGATCCTCACTCATTAGGGCCTTGATCGTCTGTGCGCTTCTTTCACAAAGCAATGCCAGATGGTGACGTTTCATCTTTTCGTCATTAAATGAGGAGGAGTTTCTAAACGCCAACGACTATATTTTTTTGCATGGTCTCTAGCGGCATCTTGTGGCATTTCTGTATTCGGTTACATGGCCCGAAATATAAGATGTTTTTTTTTTTTTAAAATATAAGGTATAACAGAATTAAAATCCATGCAGAATAATCCACAAATTACGTTTTTTTGGATGACATATACAGTTTAATGAATTGTTTGCATTATTAATGATCTTTTTAAAAAAAATTATTATTCATCTTTATTTTTGTACACCGCCCAATATTCAGCACAACGGACAGCACCAGACTATAACGAGACAAAACAGAAGAAAGCTGCTGCCAGCACCATGGACAGCGGTTCAGTGCACTTTGCATGTGGTTCAACTGCTAAACATAATTAGTACCCAATTTACCAAAATACAGCTATTAAACTATATGCCACTAATCTCTATGTGGCCGTAAACCAATAAAAATCTTAGGATGCCCTTTAAAAGTTGTAAACGTTCTTAAGAACAATTTACCGACTTACTCTGACACGTTTATTATATTTATACGGTGGCCCTGAGAGGCCAAACGGACTGCAACTTAAGAAAACAGGAAAAACGACAAAGGAAATAGGAAAAAAGAAAACACAAATACGAAAAAACAGATTTTCAAAAGCACAAGGGAAGTGTTTCTGGGGAGACAATAACCCGACGGACCAGTTGCAGGAACCAAAATATGCTAAGGATTGCGCTGGGAGACACTTAAAAGAAGTGGAGGATCTATCGGTTTTGTGAGGAAAGAAAAGATAAGAGGTAAGTGTGTTAGCCTAAAAATCCATCATCAGTATTATAGGAATCATGATAAAACACACCTAGCTTGTTTTGGGTTCCTCCAACTGGTCCGTCGGGTTCTTGTCTCCCCAAAAACACTTCCCTTGTGCCTTTGGAAATCTGTTTTTTTTCGATTTCCGTTGTCATTTTTCCTATTTCCGTTGTGTTTGTGTGCTTTTGCAGTGTTTTTCTTTTTGCTGGTGTTTTCTTAAATTGCAGTCCGTTTGGCCTCTCAGGGCCACCGTATATTTAACACATATTTAACAGATCTATTAATTCATTATCTGACATTCAGTGATATACAAAAATCTTACTTATTCAGAGCAGCATTTCCTTACCTTCTCTTTGTTAGGTAAAGTCTGAGTCCTGGTAAAAGTGTATTTTATTAGTTAACTTGAACT